AAAGATCTGAATCGCCACAAAGAGGTAACAATTCTATCACTGACCATGCTCATTCGTAAGGATCACTAAAGGAAATTTTTGTTTTCCGCTGCGTTTAGATCGCAATTTTCCATCACTTTGCCCAAAACACATGCTCACTTCAAAGAAACTCTCTTGTATGGAAGGGAGTCTTTGACCTTTGAAGAAGTTCAATCAACCTTGTATTCTAAGGACTTGAACAAACGAAAGGAGCATAAACCTTCGACGGTGGGTAAAGGTTTGGCCGTTAAGGGAAAATTCTTGCGAAAGAATGATAAGTTCGACAAAAAGAAAGGTAAAATTCAACAGAAGTCTTATAGTGGCAAGACTTCTAGTATTCGATGTTATCACTATAAGAGGGTCACACAAGAAAGGTGTACCCTGAACGCCTGAAATATCGTGGAGGTAATGGCAGTGTACCATTGTTCAAGATGACTTCGACTCATCTGATGTTCTTGTGGTTTCAAGTGGAGACTCGAGAAAAGAGTGGATTATGGACTCAGGTTGCACTTGGCACATGAATCCAAACAGAGAATTGTTTGAGGAGCTATATGATCAAGATGGTAGATCTGTGCTGCTGGGAAACAACAAATCTTGCAAAATTACAGGTATTGAATTTGTGAGATTCAAGCTCCATGATGATTCAATAAGGTTATTGATTGAAGTCAGGTATATACCTGCCTTGAAGAGAAATGTGATTTCTCTTGGTGAATTCGACAAAAAGGGATACGTTTTTCAAGGAGAGAAAAATATCCTAAGAGTCATGAAGGGGTCAAAGGAAGTCTTGAGAGGCGTGAAGAAATAAGGCTTGTATACCCTTGAGGCTGAGGTTGTAAGTGGTTCGACAAATTTTGCATCTATGAAACCTGTGTTGAAGACATCATTATGGTACATGAGATTGGGCCATGTCAGCGAAAGAGGCTTGGTCGAATTGGGGAAGCAGAATCTACTAGGAGGTGACAAAGTCGAAAAGTTGGAGTTTTGTGAATCTTGTGTATTTAGTAAATCCTGCAGGGTGAAGTTTAACAAAGGCAAGCAAAGAAAACATGGATCCCTATATTACATTCATGCTGATCTTTGGGGGCCTGCAAGAAATCCTTCACACTCAGGTGCAAGGTATTTTATATCCATCGTTGATGACTATTCCAGAAAGCTATGAGTATTCATTCGGAAGACAAAGGATGAAACTTTTGAGAATTTCAAAAGTTGGAAGATTCTTGTCGAAACTCAACCTGACAGAAAGGTTAAGAGGTTGTAACTCTATTAACTCTGTTAGAATTTCTGTGCAAAGTTGTTAGAAAGGTTTAACTCTTCTAAATTTGTATGTTAAAGTTAGTTAGGGGTTAGTTCGGTTAATTAGGTAATGAATTTGAAGTGAGTTAATTGTTAATGGCCAGTGGTTGTTAATGCTCTGTTAAATTTAGTCAACTAGGGATGTTAAGGGTTATGAAATTAGCTAAGATGCTGAGTAAGTAGGAAATCAGTTAGGTTGCTTGAGGTTAATTAATGGCTACTACAGAGGTTTTGTTAGTGTATTAGTATTAAAAATAGTTGAACTGAATTATCACTACCTGGGCTATGCTTGACTCGTGAATTGGTTTTTTATTGGTTGGAATTGTTTAAACAGTTAGTTATATTATTTACATGATTTACGAAATGGTTATTGTTTGAATGGAAAAGATATGCGAAAGGGTTAGTGAACCATCATGTTGTGTTGTGTTATCATGGTTTTTGATCAATTAACTAGTGGTATTTTGAATGATTATGTTAGTGTAAAAATGTGAGCTAGGAACTGTGTTAAAAGCATTAGCATTTGGAACTGGTTGGTTATGTAATGACCCAGCCACAAAGTGATTGGAGTTGTTTGAATGATTATGTTAATAGCTTGATGTACACTTGAAAAATAGCAACGTATGGGTTATGATGCTTAGTGTTAGGGTAATGAGATATTTTTGTGCACTAAGCTGTTATTGATGTATGGTATGGTTTGTAATTTCCTATCTTGCTATGCATTGCCCATGATGTACTTTGTTTGGAATCACTTGGAAACCAATTTGAATTGATCTTCATTGTTGATGTTAGTCATGATAGTACCAAAAGTTTAGTATTTTGAATTTGGAGTTGTTGTAACAGTGTGTATGTGCACTAACTTCTATCAAGTGATACTTGACTTTGTTTGGATGCAGGCATACTAACTTGGCATGGTATGAAGGTGTGGATCATGAAGAAATGCATATGGAGAAGTCTTGAAATTCAAGAAAGCACAAAGTGACATGTCTTGAGGATGAGGAAAATGAGGGATTTAGGTTTAGGGTTAGAGAGTTGACTTTGGTCAATTGGTTGACCAAAGTCAACGGTAAGTTAAAAGTATGTTTTTTGTCGGTTTTGATTATTGTGTAATGATTTTTAATGGAATTGGTGGCTTTGTAATGAAAACTTTGACTTTTGTAACTTGTAACTTGTTTTCCAAGTAATCCAACTTTGCCTCTATTTTCAATTTGAATGCTTGAATGCTATCCTTGAACTGAAATGTGAATCATGATATTTGACCTTAAATCTTAATCAAACAAACTAATGGACTACTGAAAAAACCAATAAGATCAATTGAGTTCAATCACCAAGGTTGACCTAATGTAAGTTGTAATCCAAAACCAAACCATGTGATCCAAAATGCTTTAGATAAGGAGAAACATTTTAATCAAATAATGTTGCTTGATGGATGCAATTGATAATGAATGGCCTAAATGCTTTGGCATGAACATGTAAATGAATGAATGATTGTATCTAGATACATGGCTAAAAAGGGAACCATGTATGCAGAGGGATGCAACAATAATCCAAATAAAAATTTAAAATAAGTAGGAAAACTTTTTGGGGTTGACAGATAAATATTCTGCAAACCATACTTTATAAAAAAACGTTTGGGTTTTAGGGTGTCACATTCGCATAACCTTAGATTTTTTTAGAACACCCCTTTTATTTCTTGCACCACATCATAATACTCTCCTAGATCCTTTAACTAAATTGTTTTTTTTAAATCAAAATCCAGCTTTCCAAATCAGCATATAGGGCCCGTTTATTTTGGTCTTTTTTAAAAAGTGACTTTTATAGTGTTATATATATATAGTGTTACCATTTTTCTCTAGGAAGGGTTTCTGTTATGTTGTCCTTGGTGATCAATGAGTGTCATTCGCTCAATGTTTGTTGTTGCATCTTTAACACTTTTGGACATTAGAGAACCTCAAACAGTTGCATATAACAACAAATTTGGTTGTTGTTAGAGTCCATTTCTAAGGATGTTTATTTCCATGAGTTTGTCAAAACTGTTCTTTGGACATCGTCTTAGCATGAACTTGTATTTTTCTCACGCTTCATTGAGAGTTTCTGTTGCGCCTTGAGAAAATACCGCAGTTTTTGTCTTAACTTCCAAGAATTTGTTGTGAGGGAAAATATGTCTAAGAATTTTTCCTTCAATAAGTTCTAAGTTGTCATTGCCAATATGTTTTAATTTAGATGTCACTCTTTTACTTTTTCAATCAAAGAGTGTGGACACAACCTTAGGAACACCACTACTTACTCATTCTCTGAAGCTCCTAACGTTCCAACGATACAACCTTTGGAGGATATTTATTGGTGCTCTAGATGGCTAACATTCGTGTCTCAACTTATGTAACCTCATCTACTAGAGCAAGTGTGAGGCAATTCAGGTATTTGCAGAGTATTTCTAGGGACTCCATTTTTATTGTGCCTCCTATGGTGTATCGTAGAGATGTTGATGAGATATTTGCAAACTACAATAATTATTTGATACTAGAGGATGTGCGAAGTGTATCGATTGATATCTCATTGAGTATTGTATATAATTACATCCAATGGTATTAGGAATTTACGTATTTGTATATGACACCGACTTTAAAGGGAGAAACCACAAGTCCATCTCATCAAGAGATTTTAGAGAAGGAATATGCTAAGACATACCATATTTTAGATGTGTTGCCTAGATGTCATTGTATCGTCACTTTACTCGTTGGTGCCATCAATATAGGGGAATTTCAGGAAGGCACCCCTTCGTGGGACACCGTACAAACAGTATTATTAAAGGCACGAGGTGCACTTTAGCATAGGAAGAAAATGACGGACATGATCTGCGACAGGCCCAGTGGATATACTATTTTATTTAAAATTTAAAAAAACATCTATGTTTTTTTGTTCCAGTGTCACCACGTTAGATATGTCAATCTTCTATCAAAACAGAATTAGGTCTTATGATAATTATCCCAAAACCTAACTTATTGACTTTCTCACAAACCCATTTAAGCATATCATCACGTAACTTAAACTATTGATCAATGTTAAATTGTTTTTCGACATCAAACGTATACAATACTTAATGGGGAACTCCCGACACATCTTCTAATGCATTAGTTCAGTTGACAACATCATGAAATACTTACCTATAACCATTGAAAATAAATACAATTCAAAACAACCATTTCATATGAAAAGTTCTAAATCACATCTTCCGAACAACTTTCTCAACGTAAAAAAAGAAAAATTATAAATAAATGGAAAGAAATACAAATTTACATTCTATAATTTAAGTCAATCATTATGGTTTTAAAATACAAATTAATTGTTACCAAAACAAATAATTGAATAAGAATGGGAGAATTTATGAAAGAGTTTAAGAAAATATGAAATAAAATTGTGAGGGAACACCTCAACAAAAAAAAAACATCTATAAAAACAAAAAGAATAGTTGTTCAAATAATACAACCAATGATTCTAAAAATGCATGAAATGGGTTGGAGGCATAGCATGGGACATTTTCAATCAATCAAATCGCAGTGATCCCACCCACTCGGAAATGAGGGGCACATTACCTAACATATTAACATCAATTAATTTAAAATAGGCAATTTGTCCCTTATAATTCCCAATCTGGTCAACAAATTTGCAGTCACAGTCAACACCAATCAAAAATGGGCTCTGAATCTCAATCTCCATCTCCCACACTACACCTTCTCCAGGAACAAATCCCAGTGAAACAACAACCCCTTCTTCTTTCCAACAAGCTCAAAACCGGTCTCGTCCTCGTTGATATTATTAACGGTTTCTGCACCGTCGGATCTGGCAATTTCGTAATTATACTCTTTTTTTTTTCCTTTTAACTTACTCTGTTTTCTATAATCATGTATCTAACTTTTGTCTGTTTCGTTGTCATTTTCGTACAAATTAAATTAAATTTTGTGTTTTATTATTGTTATTATGGTAGGCGCCAAAAGAACCCGATGAACAAGTTAATAAAATGGTGGAAGAATCTGTGAGGTTATCGAAAGTTTTTGCTGAAAAGAATTGGCCTATTTTTGCTTACCTTGATTGTCATCACCCTGATGTTCCTGAGCCTCCTTATCCTCCTCACTGTCTTATTGGATCCGACGAAACAAAATTGGTTCCTGGTATAATTTAAGTTTGCAGTTGATTGAATAACTGATATATCTGGTCTCTCTCTCTCTCTCTCTCTCTCTCTCTCTCTCTCTCTATATATATATATATATATATATATATATATATATATATTGATGTTTGGATTAAGTATTTATGTTTATTGTGTTGTGTTTTTGAGCTGATTTGGATTTGGTTTTCTCTGAAATGAAGAACTACTGTGGTTGGAAAATGAGCCAAATGCAACGCTCAGGTGCAAAGACTGTATTGATGGATTTATTGGTTCTTATGAGAAAGATGGGTCTAATGTGTTTATTGATTGGGTGAAAAGTAATCAGATAAAGCAAGTAAGTATTGTACTTCTGGTGTTATCAGTATTTGTTTGGTTTGTAGATTCTTGGTTGAGATTGTTAGGTGCTGGTTTTTTTGTTTGTTACAGGTTTTGGTTTGTGGGATATGCACTGATGTATGTGTGCTGGATTTTACCTGTTCGGTTTTGTCTGCGAGGAACCGCGGTTTCCTTTCTCCTCTGGAAAATGTGATTGTGGCTTCCCAAGCTTGTGCTACTTATGATCTTCCACTACATGTAGCCAAAGCTGGCAAAGACCTGGTATCCCATCCACAGGTATTTTGTCGAATTAAATTTTGGCTTTCGGTGATACATTTTAGCATTCCGATGGGCTGGAACTGGTAGAAAATATAATTAGCATAATCTTATTTCATTAGATGTTGGATGATGGAAATCATCTGACATTGTTACTTGATAACATTCAAGAAAACTGACATATATTGGGAAACACCGAATACCTTTTGGATTCCCTGCGTTGACGTAATCACATATTTGACAATCTGGTATTTGGATCAAGATAAAACGGTTCATGTTCTGACTTTGTATTTTGGGTCTAACTTACAAACTTGGAACGTGAACAGTCTGGTATTGAAATTTGGTCCAATAGTCTAGATCGCGTAGTCATATGCAATATTCCTAGGGAACATGGATCATATATAGCGTCTGGATCAAGATTCAGAAGGGTGCAGTTGGAAGGATTGAAATCCTTTCTTAATTCCATGGAATTCGGACATGTATATGTTCTTCATGTTACACTAAGATATCAAACACTTAACCTCTATAGCTCCAAACGTGATACTTTCTCTAGACCTGGTTTTTACTGTCATTTTTGTTTGTATCCATGTAAATTGTGATGGTCAAATTGCAAGCAATTCTTGTGCTGTTTTTACATGTAAATTTTTTGAAAAATCAAAGTTTGTGATTAAATTTAATCCTTTTTAATGTTTCCATTATTATTATTTACTGCAGGAAGTAATGCATCATGTTGGCCTTTACATAGCATGGGGAAGGGGAGCTCAGATAGTATCAGAAGTGTCATTTGAATAGTGGAAGCAGCATTAAGTTTTGGTATATAAATAAATCCTCATGTTATTATCGTTAAATAACAGGTTTGGCTTGGTAATTAAAAAATTCCTTCAATGAAAAGTATCACAGGAGGGAAAAGTGTTTTTTGAAGTTTGTTCTGTATTGATAAGAATCTCCAGCAGACAGACACTTAGGTTTTATTGATAAATAATGTTATTGAAATGTGTTTATGCTGGTTGTGTACTTGTACTTGTACTGGGTATTTGGCTTGCTCTCAATCTATTAACATGAGTTTTATAATATTGTTTGGCTGAATTTATGGAAAAAACATAGGACATTATAAGTTTTTTTTCAATTTATTTTCATAAATTTTTTAAATATATTATAAAAACAGCTTATTTTATAACATATACAAAAATATAACAACAATCAAGTCTTATCCCACCAAATGAAGTTGACTACATGGATCATGTTCCGTCATAATTCTTATCCAGAACCATGCTTCTATCCAAATTGTTAATATTGAGATCTTTCTTAATAACAGTTGGAATTTCTGCCTTAATTGCGATCCGTCCCTAATCACCTTAATTGTGGCATTTGACTTGCCTACATTGCAGCTCTTAGCACCTTCATTGTGTTAGATTTGAAAGTGTCGATTTAGTCACACATTGCTTAGAGATATGATCCATGTTCTGTTTTTAAGTGGGAAAAATCCCCACCTTACAAGTCTAAAAAAATATTGAGCGTGACGGGTGTATTAGAAAGATCCTATGTCCCACATTGGCTAGATATTTATAATGGGAAGCAATCTTCATCTTACAAGCCGGTTTTGTAGAAATGAGTTAGATTCAACCCAAATTCTGAGAATAACTTATAGTTTTTAGGTCTTCCCTTACCTCTAGTTGTGCTACTTCTCTCCATTAGATTTACTCTCCTCACAATAATATTTATAGATCTTTTTTCTATATACTCAAATCACCTAAGTCTATTTTCCACCATTTTTTCTACTATAGGTGTTACATTAATATTGTTTTTAATATTGTCATTTATAATCTTATCATGTTTAATCTTACCACACATCCAACACAACATTATCATCTCTACTACGATTACTTTATTCTTGTATTGATTCTTAATCGTCCAACATTTTGTTCCCCTACAACATCGCAGGTTTTACCGTAGCGTTGGCTGATAAAAATTTGTCTTCAGCTTGAGTAGTATCTGTGTAAAATAAAACCCTTGAAGCCCTCCTCTATTTCAGCCACTCAGCTTGAATTTGATATTTACACCCCTTTCTATTTCTTCATTGTTTTGTATTACAGACTCAAGAAATTAAAACGCGTGAATTGTGGGATGATATCGTTTTCAACTTTCACCTTTAGGTTGAAAACACTTCTCTTTTTGCTAAACTTACATTCCATATACCCCGTCTTACTTCTGTTTAGGCGAAAACCATACATTTCTAAAACTTATCTCCAAGTCTCCAACCTCTCATTTAAATCTTCCTTTGACTCTTCAAGTACAACTATATCATTTGCAAAAAACATGCATCTTGGTGTTAGCTCTTGAATGTTGTACTTGTTAAAAATACAATATTTGAGATAAGGAGAATCTGCTCACGTGGTGGTTGTTGATGGGTCAGCATGAACGGGGAACATTCAAATTAGGTTAAAGACTCACCCCTAAAGGTCAAAAACTCACCCAAACAAGTGAGAGAGACACCACATATTCACCAAAATGGGTCATCTCACATATAAAGTGTGCAACCTCCACTTTTCTAAACAATGTGGGACTTAAAACTCACACTTGTTTCTCAACACAACTCACACTTGTTTCTCAATAATCACCCCTTCAAGTGTGAGTTCATCCACCATGCTCCCCACAAGTGGAAGCTCTTTCTTTCACATGCTTGTACCGCCGTTGAGAGACACGCCGCCTGACCACCATGTTAGGAAGACTTTCGACACAAGGATTCGGTCCCTTACTCGAACTATCGGCTCTGATACCACTGATGAGTCATAATGAAGAAGAAGCATATACATTGGGTCAAAGACTCACTCCTAAAGGTCAAAGAGTCACCCAAACGAGTGAGAGAGACACCACATATTCACCAAAAAACTTAAAGTGATAGGTGTATGGGTCCTCTTACTTATAAATTGTTCAACCTCCACTTTTTTAAGTAATGTGAAACTTAGAAATTACTTGTTTCTCAACACAACTCACACTTGTTTACTAACAGTTATAAAAGACTCTGTGTATTATTCTCTGAAATTTGTGGATGATCTTTTTTCAATTTCAAGACTGAGTTATATAGAGGACCTCTGAGTTAGGAGAAGCGGTTTCTCCTACCTCTTTATCAAGAACATGAGAATAAAGGAAGACTAATTTCTTTCCGAATTGTGGAGGAGACAAATCTTCTCCTTTGACTGATACTTTTAGGATGTTGTTACTTACAGCTGTTGTTACTTACACCTCATGAGCTACATGTATTAAACTAGTGTATTAAACTAGAGCCTCGGTTTAAATTTTAAAGTTTTCAGAAATATTGAAATTTTAAAGGATTATATTTAAAAGAACTGAATAAGATGTCAGTAGACTTTCTTAATGATATAGACGAAGTTACTTGAGAAATAAGATAAGTGTTGCTTTCATTAACTAGTGTCTAATAACAACATTACAAAATTGCAGATGATCCAAATCCTAGTTAATTCAAAAAAGAAGTTTTATTTTATTTTGTGAAACATATCTTCAAGTAACATTATGAATTCACAGTCCACAGTTAACCATCTATGTCTTTTTGATAGGTCATTTTCTTACCCTTAAATCAGCATCCTTCCTAGGATGTTTGGTTACTTAGAAGACAACATTTTGAACATAATGGATTCACTGATGCACATTAAAAAAAGGCACACAATACAAAAAGGGCAATCTAATTCCCCTACATACATTTGGTCACACTTCTTACAGTATATAGACAAGTATTATAAACTCATCTCAATCAAATCTCAATACATACACTACCTAATGTTTATGTTAAAGAAAATGCAGCATGTATGAATATTACTTTACATTTACATTATGGCTTTATGATTTCAAAGCGCGATATTTCCTATGCATTGAAAAGATTGACTGTTTTTGTTTCTTTGGTTTAACTCCAAAGATAAATGACCTTAGAGGAACACGGTTCTTCGGATCCGAAGGTCTAATCTGGTTTCTCTTCGAATTCGACAGTCCAAATCTTTCATTCAACTTCGCAAGGGCCTTCTCAGCTTCAAGTTGAAGAGATGTTACAAGATCGAACCCAGCTTGAAGCTCGTCAGCAACTTTATTATTCTCTTGTTTCATATTCAAAACCTCGCCTTGAAATTTCGCTGCATTATAGCTTGTGAACTTGAAATCATAACCTTCAGCACTTGCTTTCAATGCTCCTGTTATCTCTTCTTGGATTTCACACAATGACGCGAATCTTTGTTGAAGTTCTTCCTTCAGCATTGCGCTGTTTTCTAACCATAGTGTGAGTTCATTTTGTATCTCTGCGAGGTGTTTATAAAGCGGTCTTGCATCTGATTTCAAAGAATATTTTGTGCTACTACTTCCTTCTGTTCCTTTCCATGTTTCTTCGATATTTGATACCTCGGCTAGCAAATCTTTTGTAGTTGTTTCATATTTCTGTATCTCAGTGAAAGAAGCGCTGAATTTCATCCAGAATACTAGATTCTCCTCTAGAAGTTCGTCGATTCCCATCCGAAACTTCTCTTCAATCACAGAACCTGGTTCTGGTTCTTCTATTTTAAACATTGTCTCAATAACATGATTTCCTGGTGACTGCAAAGAAGGTGACTGCAAGGGAGGTAGCTCCTCCGTTTCTTCATTTCCCTCTAAGTTTTTCTGTAAAAGATTTAGTTTCTGACGCAAGAGTCGAATTTCTTCGTCTTTCACAGCATTAGAAGTCTTCAATTCTTTCACCTGCAAAGATGACTCAAAGAGTGCATCTTGAGTTTTCTTCTCTACATCCATGAGCTTGCTCTTCAGTTCTTCATAATTCTGAAGAGTGTTCCTATACTCTGATAGCAAAGCATTTTCTTCTAGTGTTTTTGCTTCCTCCTTGGAATCACTTTCAAGAGTACTCTTTGTCTCGGACGAAATTTGATTACAGTCATTTTCATGACTTCCGTCATCTCTTGATTTGATTATATCATCATTGCTAATGACATGAGTTTTCTTGTTTTCATTCAACTCTATAGAAGATTTGTTTTCAACTATGGTTGCTTTTTCTTCTGTTTGTGAATCAGCGACCTTTACTTCATTTTCCATAGCTGAATTTAATGTATCTTCTTCTACCAAAGAAGTATCTTTTTTGGACTCAGCATCATCATTCAATAAGACTTTGTCTTTATTCAATGCGTTTTGTGTGTTAACATCATGTTTTGGTTCATCTTTGCTTAATGAATGTGTTTCTGTTGGCAATATTTTAGCCATGTTATCCTCGTCGTCCGGATTTTCCTTTTGCACTACTTTCTCAGCAAGACTATCAAGACTACAATGCGCTTCGGTGAAATGAGTTTGGAGGTTGTTGTTTTGATCTTCAACAACTTGGCTAAGGTCATGTAGTTCATGCACTTTTTCATCCATTTCTCGAAGTTTCTCGTTCAATTTAACTTTTTCGTTAACCAAACTCTCCTTTTCCATTTCTAGATGTCGAATCAACGAATGGAGTTCGTCAGTTTCGTCTTTTAAATTCTTTACCAAAGCTGTCTGTGAAGAAACTGCAGATTCTAAACTAATCACTTTTGTAACAAGCTCGTCGATCTTCTCTGCCATTTCTGTCACGGTTAAAGGCGAATGCGAGGCAGCCTCGAAATGTTCTTTAATCTTCTCTTTCAATATTTGCAACTCTTGTCTCTGCTGAGTCATTACCTCCGCATCTTCATTCAAATCCTTTGTTCCTGTTAGTTCTTTTACATCTCGTTTCGGCCTCGGCTTTTGAGAACCGCTTTGATCATAATCAAGTTGATTCATGA